AAGCATGCAAATTTTCGCTTGTTTTCTTTAAATAATGCCAGACGAAAAACCTTACATGCAACTTTCTGCAGATGGCTCCCTGTGAATTTAATGCAAAAAACAAAACACGTTTCATTACACAGCGATCTCAACCCGACTGTAAAAGCATTGTGCGCTCGTAAGTATATTATTATTGCAATTTTGTTGCATTCTATTCCTTTCAGGTTGAAAAAAAATATTTCCTTTGCAACTGTATATGTTATCTCCATGTTAATGTCCATGTCATTCACATTTCTAATATTCTGTTGCCTTAAATGAAAGAAAAAAGTACATTCAGTATTGTCGCTGAATTTAATATACGTGTGTAAGAAAAGAAAATTAGTTCTCTGATAAACAATATTTTTATATAAAGGTACAAAAGATGTTACACATTAAAAAGTGGGCAATATTCATAAATATTATTCATTTTAAACAGACGTAATTCTATTCTCTGTTCCAAATCTATAGTAGTCTAACTTGAAAAATAAATTTTATTTCTTCAGGCTGACTACAAATATTGTGAATTTTCTGCGAATTATGTTAGCACCCAACGTTTTTGCTATTTTGCGGAAACTCGCTTGTCACTTGCTTTCGGAGATTTCATCTAAGAGAATGGGTATTTAATGAGCATGAAGTAATGAATTAAAAATCACATCATCTTTGATATGAATGGTTTTAAATTAAGAGAATATTTATTAAAAACCTCTGCATCTAATATTAACATTATAATAATATAAATAATTATACATTTACGGAGTTAGCGCACTAGAAGAAATAATAATTTTTCTTTCTAGAAAAAAAAAACACTACCCTTTTTATGTTATTCACGACACTACAGTGCCATAAGAAGTGTAATATCATGGCAACAAAAATACAACGCACATCATTAACAGTAATAATCTTTTCAGTACTCCCATCAAAATGTAAACAAACGGTATGGAGGTGTCCTCTCGAGTCCAAGAGAAGTCAAGATATTCTTACGCCTAAAGGAAATGACGTCATCGAAAGCTATATACAATCACAATAGGAACGCGCATTGGGATACATTTTCCCAATGCGCGTAGCGCGGTACAGAATGCTTATATGCATTTTTTATTTTGAAAATAATTTTGGGTCTTAATTCAGCCGCGTAAATTCAGTCAGCTGATACGAAAGTATATTTAAGTTTAAGAAAAAAGGTATTATCAAAATGATATATAGTTGGCGTGTATTCACGTTACACACTCTTATATATTCACATGGTGACTGCATGAGATTTGTGAACTGACATGGTGAAAACTCTCATGCAGCCAGCCCTTTCGCCGAGATTTCAATTTTCAGTTGAATCTGAATTTTAATTTTCCGTTGTTTTGCCATTCGGCAGTTTTTAGGCACATGCCATGTTGGGAATTAGTGACAGAAGCTTAGCAACAAGAAAGATGAGCATGCAGATAACTGGAGTAGCGGTTCATTTATTTTGTGGTGCGTGATTTGAATGAAAGAGCCATTGGTAGTGTTTTGTCTTCAAAGTAGAATAGTTCATGTAGTAGAAAAACAAGAACGTAAGTCGTAATCTCATTTTAACTGATAATTATGCCAAAAGAAATTAGCACTAGAAGCAATAGCTCCTAATACACGTATGTTGAGTTACTTATTTCTGCGCATGACTTATATGCCTTTATTTTGCTAATAAAATTGTGTAAAAGAATATGCCGGCGATAAATTTCTAATCAGAAATTCTAACGCCGAAGCCTATTTCCAAATTGGCGTGAAGTCTGAAAATGTATCTAAAACCACTTTCATTAAGAAGTCCGGAGTTTACGTTTTCTTAAGAATGCCGTTTGAATTATGTGAGTCGCTTGCCATGCATTTTTCAGCGTGCAATGGGCACAATCTTGCAACTAGTCCTCGGAAAAAATACATTCATTTATTTACATGATATAATAGTCACAAGCGAAACACTAGATGAACATATTGAAAATTTACGTGAAGTATTTTCGCTTCAAAACGTAGCTGCACTAAATATAAATGCTTCCAAATGTAAGTTCGCTGCTCCAAAAACATCGTTTCTTAGGATATAAAATATCCGGAAAAGTATCGAAACAGAAAATTAAAAAATAATTGTGGTTAAAAATTACATTCTGCCAAATATTGCAAAGAAACTATCATCATTCTTAGGCATGTATTCATATTATAGGACTTTTATTAAAGACTTTGCTCAAATAGTCGAACCAGCCAATTAAAGAGAAAGAAAAATCGGTTTAATTGGTCAGCCGAGGCCAATATGGCTTTTGAAAGATTAAAGCAGGCCCTAATACAAACGACCGTGTTAAAATTTCCGAAAGGTGACTAAAACTTGGAAATTCCGGGAGACGCCTAAGATTATGCTGTTGAAGCGGTTCTCATGCAGAGCGGCCAACCGACATTGTGTTTTAGTAAAACGCTTAATCCCATGCAGAGAAACTACAGAACAAAGCGAGAAACGCTTGCAGTCTATTTTAATTTTAGCTGTACTGAACTTGACTTTATTTCGGAAAGCCGCCGACTACAGTTTATTCAGACCATGTGGCCGTAAAACGTTTGTATTCAGGAAATAATTTGTCTCCAAGATTGATCCGTTCAGCCAAGTTTTGAGATGCGAGCAGATGATAAGTGGCATAAAAGATTTATCTGTAAGCCTAACAGACGATTTTTATTGGCCAGTTACAAGTAGTTTAGCGTAGAATAATCTGTTAAGCAGAAAAAAATGGAGCTGATGCGAGAATATTATCTCGCTGTGATTTTGTGCGATTTAAAGGTAGAATTAAATCTAGAATAATGCATTCAATGCCTACAGTTAGCATTTGGAAATGAAAGTCCGTTATGTTCTCCTGTATTCAGATGGTTTTTTAGAACTTCACATAGGTCGTAACTCTCTTCAGGATGAACACACGAGAAGGCCGTTGTCAGCAGTAATCCCGGATAATGTGTCTGCCTTGCGGAAAATGTTAATCGATTATAATCGCTGCACCTATCAAATGATACAGAAGAACTTGATATTAGATCCGCCACCGAATATAAAATTATTCGTGAAGAATCGCATATGAAAAAAACTAGTTTGCCATCTTGATCCCCATAATTTAACTGAACACCAAAGAGAGAAGCGTGTTAGAATTAGTAGAGAAACCCTTAAATTACTTAAAGATGATGGTCAGCAGATTATTTCTAAAATCGTAACTGGTGATGAAACGTAATACCATATTTCACAGATCAAGTAAGTAAAGTATGGGTCTTTGAAGATGATCCCACGACTACAATGATGAAAAGACTTCATACCAAGAAAACAGTAATGTATGCCGTTTTATTCAGAAGTACAGGAAGTCAAAGCCATCAAGCTGGAACAACAGAAGACAATCACAGCTAACTGGTACACCACTAAATGTCTTTCAGAAATTATTCAAGAAGTGAATGTTAGAGGACTCATGTTCCCCAATGCATCTTCTTCTTCAACAAGATTGACAGCTGCAGCTATTGAACAAAAGAACATCAAAGTAATAGAACTTCCTGTTCACTCGATCTACCCATGCTTGAATTTCGACTATTTTTAATCTAAAACAGAACATACGCGGATCGTTTTCATTCCGAAATGAGATTCATGAAGCTCCAGATGCTTTATCTCACCGATTCTAAGAAATTAATGGCTTGGGACATATAATATTTGAAAAATTCTCCTACAGAAGTACATTGAAGCTGGTGGAGACACTTTGAAATTTCGTAAGTATAACTTTAGAAACCTATGTATATCTCAAAAATTTCAGAGTGACCCTCGTAGAAGAATTGCAGAGAACCTGAATTTAAAAGTATTTATGCTTATTTAAGCGATCCAGATTATTTTAAACACACAGACATTACGGCAATAAGAAATATACCCTTCGTCGGACTTTGGAGTATTTAAGACTAAGGGGTAATTTTCTACACAGTATTTCTTCTAAAGTCTAGTTACATTTTTTACAAAATTATACGAGACTTTATGAGTTATTTTTCACATTTCTTAATGATGAAATAATTTTCTTTAGAACGTAGAAACTTTTTTCTTAGACATTTTGTTATGATATGCCAATCTTTGCTGTGCCAAATGAAACAAAATAATATTCCACAACCGTTGTGCGACAAAGAATAGATCGTAATTTTTTCAGGAAAAGAACATTCTACTTTAATAACTGTAAAGATCGTGACTTGTAAAGATCATGACTTGTGAAGATCGTGACTTAAAGAGAACGTGAAATATAAATAATAGGACAAGAACTTGCATTTTACGGTGTGGCAACAAGAAGAGGATTCGAAAGATTTTTATATATTTTGTTTTAGAGAGTTTAAGATTTTGAATATTTTAATAGTTGTAAGAGTTTTAACTGAGTAGTTAAGAGTTTAAAATTTTGATAGTTTAGAGCTGCAGTATTTATTTATTTTTTTTTTGGTTCTGTTTTAAAATTTAAATAAAAAGTATTTTGTTTATTCTGAAAAATTAGCTTTATTCTTCCTGCAAGATTCAATATTCATTATATTGAAATAAGGAAAGGATCTTTACTATAACTAATATGCAATGAAGTTAACTGAGAGCGTAGCAGCCTGCATTTGAAAAAATTCATCGACTGTTCATAAATGATTTCTAGCATCCACGTACCCGCATACGCATTAAAAGAAAGTTTCTAAAAATGTTCTTACTTAACAAGATACTCCTTTTTATAATCTTTAAAGAATATAATACCCTAAAATATGCACATATAATTCTACTTAAAAAAATTCTTTCCTAATAATGAAGGAAAATGTATCATCAGTTACTGGAATTAACCTAAACCATAAGATAAAACGAACTACTGATTTACAAGGACTTGATATGAAATTGAAATATCTATTTCTCAGGCTATTAAATTATTAAAAACAAAAAAGAAGCAAACCAGGAATAATAACACCTGTCAACTTCTCGCTCGAAGTTTCTTGGGAAACAGACAGCCAAAGTCTGAAATAATACAATCAGTCTCGCGATTCCCAGTTATAAAAAGGTTGGTTTTCGAGATAATTGTTATTCACTTTGTTATCAAAAGGAGCAGGAGCAGTAAATTTCATAGCAACAGAAATGAAAACAATCTTACTTTGTCTGCTCATTTGCGTGGCACTTGTAAGTATTATTTTATAAATCAGATATGTATCTTGAATACACTGGTAAATTTGGCAAAACGTTTGCTTAAACATTATGTAGATCGCATATTAGGTAAAGAACAGAATGTTTCAAAATGCGTTGACTAGGAGTTTATGGATTCAAAAGATGAAGAGTAGAATTGAATCTCTTTGATACTCATGAACTAGGTTTAATGGATGAGTAAATAGCTTACGAGTATTGTGCCATAATTTAATAATCCATTTCGACATTTCATTCTATATTGAAATAAGATCGCCTGTATATGAAGGATCAATATATTGTTATTACAATATGTATAATGTGCACTTTTAATACTATAAAAAGTGAAAAATTTTCCACTCTCATTATTAAAATAAAGTATGAGAACTAAGTACGCAGAACACTGATGTTTTCTCCTTTGGTTTATTTCATTGGGATTTTAATTTCTTGTTAAATAATAGAATAGGTGCATGCGTGCATTTATCCATTTCCTCATGTATGATACATATACAAGTCAGTTCTTTATTAGAAAGTGTTTTAAAAGCATCCTTTCTTAGGCAAAATAGCTACAAGACGTTTTGGTGTTATTATAACACCTAGATAGGATTTTAGCTTAATTAAACCAATTCTTTTTTTAAAATTCTTATATAAATTTTCTTTTCTTCTCCAGCTTCATTTCAACTTAATCTTCTTCAAGAGGTTTTGAAATTCATGTCGTACTTATTAAGACACAACAGGCATACAGATATTCTTTGAGAATGAGATTAGTTAACAGGAAATACCTTTTGCTTTAAGGATATCTAATGACTCGTTTGTAGTCTCAGCAGCCAAAAAAAGAGGTCCTGAGCAGAAAAAAAAAGTAGCCTAATTAACAAAGGGAAATATCGAGCCTGTAGAATGGGTAAATTCTCTTTTAATTCATGGTGGCTCATTCATGACTTTATTTCTTTGGATTCCACAACTAGCTTTTACTTATTACGATTTGTTATTTCGTTCCAGAGTTCTCGGTCCTCCAAATTTCAGATGAATTTGAGTTGCAACTTCAGTGTTTTTTGTACGCAAACTTTACTTGCTGCAGCAAGATACGAGCAAAATTAATTATGCTCTTGTCGGCATTCGAACTACGTATTCGTTGCTAGATGGAAGTGTTCGCACTTATAACACGACAGTCCAATCCGTAAAATACATTAACTCCCGATATTTTAACTGTGCAATTATTGAAGACAAATGAACATTTTATATTTATTTACTTTTATTTTGATGTTTTTGTTCTCATTACAGAAACCATATGCCTTTAGCAACAACCACCAATCACAAAAGGTTTCATCAGTTTGGTTGAAAGCTTACATTTAAAATATAGCAATCTAAAATCTTATAATATCTGGATATAATAAAAGAAAGAGTCTGTGTGTCTTTCGTTAGCGCTGCGCGTAAGCAAATAAACCCAGGGCTACGAAATTTGGTATCTAGGTGCATCTAGACAAGAGCCAGTACATCTCGAAGCGACTTTTTTTCAAAATTTGAATCAGATTTTTTTTAATTTTATCTTTTCGTTTTTACGCATCATTTTGATTAGTTTGAGCGCAAACACGCATGCGCCATTCGGATCGAATTATTCTCAAAATAGGGTGGAAGGATAGGGACTTTCTTTCCTTCCAGCATAGCTCTTTCCGGAGAAGAGAAGACCTTTCACGTCGCAGCAAGTAATACCGCCCCTTTTGGACGAGTCTATGTGTTTTGGCAGAATGCCAACCAGGGTTGCGCTTGAGACGGAGTTAATTTATTTATTCGGATAATTAATATTTGTATTAAAGTATATTGCTTTTTTCAATGTAATTTTGTTATATTTATTACATTTTTTTTTTTTTTTTTGTGGGTTTTTTGTCCAAAGGGGCTTTGTACCTGAAGGACTATTGCTTTCATTTTGCAATTTTGCGTCGAATCACTTTAAACGGCGTATCACTTTTCAAATTGTTGCCACCAAATGTTAAAGTCCTACATTATATTTGAAGAAATTAAATAATGAAAAATCTGCATAAATGTATGTATTCTTCTCGCATTGTGATAAAACAACGGTACCAATCAATGTGATAAAACAACGGTACCAATCATTGTGATAAAACAAAGAGCCATCCAATTTTGAATGACGTTATCCTACTGCGAATATGGGCATCTGAAAGCCCACATCTTGTTTTATTATCTATTTCATATTTTGTAAAACTTTAACGAATTTTTTATGAACAAACTCAACGATTTAAAAACGAGCAATGGCAACACTACTGGGGGGGAAACCTTTTTATCTCCAGCGCGTGAAATTGTGTATCGGAAATTCTAAAGGTATGCTCATTTTAAAATTATTTTGCGACATTGCTTTTGAACTGCAACTGGTTACATTTAAAAGCCAGACGAAGGCTGGCGGCGTAGCTGCTAGTAGTTTGATAAAATGCATCTTTATCAAAGTCTGGAAGTAAAATAAGATCAAACGCATTGTTCACGCGCGACTATTTTTGTAGTATTTATGCTAATAAAAATCATTTCTCATCATATGCGATATATTTTGGATACGCCGTAATAAATGGAATTATAATTTCAGTTTTGTGTGTTTTTATTAGAATCAATAAATAACGCATTTAGGATACTTTGCTTTTTTAAACTTCAGTTGAATATGGGAACGCAGAACAACTTGTCCAAGAAATACTTGAATTTTGAGTAGAATTAAACAAGAACAACAATTATAAATTTCTAACCAACCAACTTGTTGCGTTTTACCTAGAGCTATTACTATGAACTCAGCTTCCTGCAGTATGAGCAAGTAATTTATTATACTTTGATCAATAGGGCGTGAGGGAAAAGTTCAGAGACCTGATTTATTATGTTGAGTGAAGTTCATGTTTTGAGTCCTAACTGCCCAGATTTTGAATTGCTAAAAATTAATTGTAGAGACGCAGATGCAGAGAAAAATATTAATGAATGATGCAGAATAGAAACTAGATAATGCAAATGTGATCTTTGAGCGGGTAAGGAAAAATATAAAACACGTTATCAGTGAAGCGCTGCAGCCCTGAGCGATATCCACTGAGTTAACGTTCACGTGCAAGAAAGTGGGGTAAAATTGAAGCCACTTAAAATAAAGAAGTTCCTATATTTAAAGTCCTTTCAGGACAGATAACGATTAAAACCAGCAATTATGTATATAGTTCTAAAATGTTGAATAGATATGCTGTGTATGGTCTGGAATAGTAATCTTCTGTAATAAGTTCATAGATTAAAATTTCTGCAAAATTTTGCAATATGATTTATTTTGGCACAAAATTTAGCGACACAACATGTCTTTAGCACCTAGTGTCGTGATAAATCGCCAGTAGTGTATCCAAGATGCAAGCCAATAACGCCAGGGAAGCAGACGGTCTATTTAACTGGATTTAAATCCGGGCGCATCTAGTACCATTCGGCTAACTTATTCGCTTTAACACTGGTGGGCAATTACAAAATTAAAAATAATTGTTGAAGTAAAATATACTCTTCAAAGCATGTACTTCTTCAGTATTATTAAATCTCAAAGCTTTTAAATTATGAACGCTATAATATTGAATTTTAATCGTCTGGTTTTTAGTTATTTTTAATAATATTTGCTGTGACCATTCATCTGCTAATGACCATTGATCTGCTACATCATAAAATTGCTATGACTATTCATCTTCATTCCTTAGTCCATACTAGTATATCATATTTTTAGGAAAATCCATGTTTCGGTTTAAAGCTTTAAGATTTTAGTTTTCAGCTGAACAGTTTTCCCTTTGCTTCTCAGTTCAACTTATATTTGTCTAAGAAGTACAAATTATAGGGTATTTAAGAAGTCACATAAAACCTCGAAGTAGGAGAATTTAAGAGAGTTCTAACCGAATGCTCTGTTCTCGTAACGACAGTTGTATAAACGTGCCCTTGTGGTTTGCTGAAGGTAAAAAAAAAATAAAAAAAAATAACTTATTCGGAAAGCTAGAGTCAGAGCCTGCCCCTGTTTAAATGTCTACTAGAACAGCGGTTCTCAATCCATTTCCCCATGTCTCCCTTTCACCACCGCTGCTAGAAACTCATTCCGCTTCCCCTCCCCTCCTCTTTTCCAAAACTCGAAAATTACGTATATACATTTATTTGGATTATTTTAAAAATGTTTTATGAATTAAGCAATCGGAAGTACAGAAAATATATCAAAACTATAATACCAAGACTTGAACAAAGTAATATTTTTATATTTATAAGTTAAAATTAAATACTTAAGAGCTGAATGAAAGACTGACACTATCCCCCTCGGAAACTATAAAATTCTGCTCTAGGGAAGAATTCCTCCCGATTGAGAACTTCTGTAATGGAAGAAATAAAAATGATCAGGGAATCGGTTGAAGGCCTCTGTTTGGCTTAGACTACTTCATTTTAATAAATTCAATATTAAATTGTTATCGTAGCTCTGAGTTTTGGGTCTGAAAGTTGCAACCTAGTTTCCAGATATGATTCTCTTAATTTTATATTTCAATGAGTAATAGAAGTAAGTCATTTCTTTTTCTGTGAGTAATTCTTTAAAATGGGTTTAATAGTTAATAATTCATCAGTTAATAAGCTAGTTAATAAAAAATTAAGCTCTCTAACAATAAGAGATGTCTAGGCCCTAAATTATGAATTCACCACAAAGTTTAGGATTTAAGAAAGGCAATTATATATTTTCTGTTCAATAACTAAAGGAAAATAGTTCTCTCCTTCACTTATGAAAAGATTAGTAAGAGATCTTTAAAAGTTAATTGTTTTGTATTTTTTTCTCATTAGGTGTCAGCACTTGAACCATCTTGCAGAAGTGACCCTGATAGATGTAGCAGTGATAAATGTTGCGTGGAATTTGGACCTATTGGATACTGCAGACCACTCCTTAAAAAAGGTTATTTAATTTTGACTTATTCGGTCATGTTTAAATTTAGATTGTTTCAGAATTCCATTGGGGGGGGGAAGAGCTGGAATTCAAAAATGAAGTAATAATATTCAAAGTAATAACCATTACTTTCTTAATTTTAATATTCCCTGTTAACAGCAATCTTTTATTACTGTTATAATAAAACTGTTCAGGAATGCAGTCGAAAGTAGACAAGTGAATCACTATAAAAACGTCAGCATTAATTTTTCAATTAACTGTAATTCAAAGTAGTCTAAAAAGATACTTGAACAGCTCTAAAATTTTAAAATAACCCTAACATTTCGCAGTAACTATAGCTGTGATATTAACTGTACTGATTTCATTATTATTAATCTTTTTAACTGATCATGGAAAAACACGCAAAAACTTAACAAATGGCCTTTGTTAACTTATCTACCTAACGAAAAGAATACCTTTGTGACGCTCTTTCTTGTAATTCCTCTCGAGAGTATCGTTCCTACTCTCGTAACAATGGAAAAAATTATTAGACGCTCCAAAATAGCCAACTCAATGACTGGTTTGAACCGGGGTCGAATTAGTACTTATAATTAATAATCTTATCCATTCATACTTTAAAAACTGCTTGTATCATTAAAGATGTAAGTTAAGAATTCTTTTCAGTGCTAAGTTCTTACACATTCAGTTTCAGATAAGGGTGCGATAATACCTCAAAACGTTATTCACAAAGATTGGATCATTTAAATAAAATCTGACTCAAAACGCAGCAACGATTAATAATAAAAGGAGAAATTAAAAAACAAATTTGACTAAAACTTTCTAGTATACATCTTAAGATCCTTTGTAACAATGCCTTTGCATTTCATTCTAAATTTATTAAATTGTTAATAATAAAAGGAAAGTCTACAAAACATTTTGACTAAAATTTTCTAGTTATGTATGCCTCTTGATCCGCCTTTGTAACAATTCCTATACATTTCACTCTAAATTTATTGAATTGATAGTAATAATAAGGTAAAACAAAAACAAAAAGAAACTTAACAAAAAAATTTTAGTTATGTCTTGAGACAGCTTTGTAGGAATTTCTACGTATTTCATTATAAATTGATTAGCTTGTTGCTTGCATATGGAATAAACACTTCAATGCATTTCATGAGTTTTTTGGCATATTTTGATTGCCCTTTTCCCTCCTTCATTTTCTGAAGCAGAATAAAGCAAAGACTTGAGAGGAGTTGATAACATACTGACACTTTACAATCCGTTACGTTGTATTAATAAGTGTTAACAAATTTCTATTTTAATTACAGAAGCGGTGGGACCTTCGCGTAGTGAAAAATATAACGCCTGCTTTTGGGTGTTATTAAGTAAAATTTCCAAATCCTGTTTTTAACATCACGGAAGAAGATGCATGATAAACTGATGTAAATCAATATACAAAGATGGCCAAACTTCATGTCAGTCAGAGCCGCATGTTGGAATTCAGGAACGTTCGGAAGCCGCAAACTAGACTTTACAAAAGCCACAAGTCCATATTTATATAAGTTGAAATGTATTGAAACAGATTTCAAATGGAAAGAAACTTCTGGTTGTAAACAATCAGTCAATAACAGTTTGCCTTCAGCATCTGATGATATATCGAATAGAATACGAAGTTTTGCAATGTCTTTGTTTTCTCTAATTACAGCTTGAAGCGGTAAAATGTATTTTGAAGTTTTTTAAATATACCGGTTCTTCCGCGATATCTTCTTATAAAGGGTTGGACGATCAAAGTTTTATAATGCCCAAGAACTTCGGATGCTTCTTAAATCTGCGCCAAAGCGAACTTTTTTTAACTATCCCGTTATTCCCTTGCATGCTTGTTCCACAGCAAGCAAGCCATAGATCTGTTGTTCATAAATTTCATGGTTTCTTGATATTTTCTAAAGATTTCGTAGCTAAGCTATCATCAGATTTATTAGAAATTCCCAAAACTTCTAACTGCCATAAATTCCTTATCAATTCGAACATTGAACTGATAAGGAACAACTTCTAAATTGTTTTTAACTTGTATTAAATTCTGCATATTATTAAATGTTTCTGATGCATTACACGCTTTTTCTGATCAACTTACAGACAGCCCCACCGCTCCTAATGATTCAGAAGCCCGCAGACCCTTTCTGTTAAGCATCCACAAACATCCATACAACCATTCGCAAAGCATCAGATGCTTCCTGTAAAGCATTTATAAACATCTATACATGCATTCCCAAAGCATTCACAAGCAAATTTAACTTTTAAATTCTTTTTTACAAAATTGTTTGACAGAATCAGAGCACAATAGTTTCATTTTTTAAATTTACTTTTCACTGTAGTCTGAATAAAATTAAAAGTTAGTATAAGAGTTCTTTCTGGTTTTTCTTTGAAATCCTTTTGGTATATATTAATGTAAGGCAAAAATATAAAAACAAAATTAAATACTGCAAATTAATAATTATTTATAATCAATATCATAATAATAGCAATATCATAATATTTAATATAGACTAGCACATTTCATTACTGTAATAAACGAAATAAAATTCAGGAATAGTTAAAATATATTATTATGTTAAAATATAATAAGGATATTTCCGACTAATGAAGTTTAATTCAGTAATTCACCTATTTTTACTGCAGATAATATAAAATATATGCATAATTTAAATAACATAAAATATTGAAATTTAGCAAGAAAAGTAAGTGCCTCTGCTTTTAAAACAACTTTTATGACAAAGTTTTAAACAAATGTTATGAACTAACTGAAGAATTTTTTTTTTCAGGAGATAAATGTGAGTTGAAATCACTGAAATCCTCCTTCAACAGACATGTTTACATGCTGAAATGTCCTTGCGGAGAGGGTCTGACTTGCGAAGAGGATGATAGCGGATCGGTAAGTTGCATGAAACACTTTTTGAAGTGATAATAGATGTATTTTGAAAGAACTATGAGAGAGTAAATCTTAAAGTATCCGCATATGCGTTGCACTTAAACTCTGAAATAAAAGGGCTGTTTTATGCTGTATTCTTCATCATCTAGAAAAGATTTAGTGAAATATTATCTTTGCTTACTTTTGTCTGGGTGATAACAATCCTGATCTAAATCGAAATTAATATTTTCTATGTCTCATATCCCCTTCCTTAAAAAAGAACAATATTATTAATAGAGATACAAATAATCGTATTCATCCAGGAAGTGTTAAATAATTCTGCGTCAAATGCTAACAATATATTAAATCACTAAAACCTGAGAAGCAGCTTCTTTCCAGAGCATACTTTTCTGAAACTAGTTTACATGTGCTCAAGGCATTGTACAATATGCTGAAGATTGGTAGAATTGCTTATTTGAATACTCTGTGCAAACTTCTGACCTGAAGTTGTATATTTAAAATTTCGATCAACAAGATCCTAAAAAAATTCGGCATGGCTTCAATCCGAGAAGCTTGATAGTTTTTGTTAACTGGAAATTTTTTTCAAGTCATTCCTCTATGGTCATGAACAATCGAAAGTAATAAATTAGCGAGCTGAAGTGCATCGTCTCTTCAGTGCGCAAGAAGGTAGTAAAGGAAAGGATATGATCACTCATACCATCTTTTAAGAAATCTAATTTGCACTATGACAACGTTTCTCATACTATCACAGAAGCATTAGTGCCTTGATTAGAATTAATTTGGAAGAATATGTCAATACAACTAACTCAGCCTTTCAGCCAGGTGCAGTATAAAAAGGTAAGCGGTACATCAGATTACATTAATTCTCTGAACAGACAGACAGTGCAACAAAATTCTGCCCAGACTGAATCTTAATGCATTTAATACCGGACAAGGTGCATTGTCCGATTTTACACAGTAAGTAACGACAATACTAGTAAAATGTTAGCCATCGTAGATTCTTTAATTTCTTCGCTTTCCTTCGTAGTTTACGCCACTGTCAAAGTAATCATATTATTTCTTCTTCATCGCTTGCGATATGCTTTCGGGGGCCCAAGATCATATCAGATATTTATAACTCATTATGCTCTGCTCCAAAGGTACAAAAATATATTGTAGAGAATATAAAATATGTCTCCTACTCTCCAATAGTCCATTAAGTGGGAGAGAATGTACGGTATTTTTTCATTTCTTACCTGGCGCCTTTGTGCTGTAATTGAAAGAATATCCAGCTAGCAAGTGAAAGGTCCGGAGTTCGAATGCCGGGGAGGCGTGCATCTTTTATGTTTCCTTTTGGGAATCATTGTAATACTGTTTCCCTGTAGATCGATTTACCTGTGCACAAAAATCTACCTGAAACTGAAAGGCATAAAATGCATTTGGTGCAACATTCGGTTATATATGCAATTTTTATTTTTATTGAAATATTAAGATTACTTTTTCCCTGTCTTACGCTTAATTAGTTTTATGGAAATAGGCATAGCAACAAATCAGAATCGCATTAGATGTTCAAAGGAAATTCTTTTCTGCTAAATATTCCTTAAATCTTATATGTCTGCATATATAAAGCTTATATTTTGCCTAACAATATCTGTGAAGAAAGGCATTTTTTATTTAGGTTCTATCCTTTGTGATAACTTAATAGTTAAATTTCGAAATTCTGAACTCATTCTGATTGCTTTCAAAATTTTGGATGGTTCTGCATAAAAAATATTTTTAAAAAAAGACCAATAAACCTTAAATTTATCTCCAGATAATTTTGAAACACATGCTTTAAAAACTCTTGTCACGTTCAACATTTCATAGATTTTTCTCTTCTCTTTTGTCAGAAAAACAGAGAAAATGATTGAAATCTAATGCTTCTTTTTCTTCTCTTTATTTTGTTCCTCTTGATGTTAAGTTCCTACTAAAAAGACCATTCAAGTAGTAGCTACCTTAACTTTCTAGCATTGGTATGCATGCCAGTAATTTCATTTGAATTAAAGCAAATGCTAATTACAAATAAAGAGTGCCACGGCCGTCTTGGTACCATCCGTTACTAATATAATTAGACTAAGTCTTTTCATGAATTTTGAAATGCAGATGCATTGATATAAGTTTAGCATAGATTCGATAGACTTTGAAGATTCATTCCTTTAACATAGAATACACAGTAGGAGATTTCATTTTTCCAAAGCAGTGATTTTTATACGATTTCGCTTACGCCCCGATTCTCAGTGATATGACAAATATATATGAAATTTTATGAAGGTTAGGCAATATTTAGTGGTTGCATACATTTATCACTTTTATCACATTTATCACATTTATCACTTTTATCTTCTATGTACTGTAGCATCTACTACGGGACTGATCCAAGGAACATATACACGAAATGAAAAGGAATTCGAACGAACATTGTTGTGGTTGATTTGCTGTCATCATACAGATAACTAATATTGAAAGGAGTGTTTGGGGAAGGTTGTCGTATACCATCAAATGGTCCTGACATTGAAATTTTTCGGAAGCACCAAAATCTGTGTTTTCGGTTGCAAAAAAATTCGTATACGACAATGCTGGTGAAGAAAGTCCCTTTCAAGGCTTTATAGAAGAAAAATGAGTGAAAATTATTAACTACGTTCAAAATGTCCTAAAAGATGGAAGTCACCAAAGAGAAGATACAAAGAGTTATTACAACTCCTGTACCTAGGAGGTTGGTCTCAAATTGACTTCAGTTTCAGCATCCCAAGGGCTCTGCCTCCAGCCAGGAGGATAGCATAGGCAATATATGCACTTAAAATTGTCTTCTGTACTAAATAATTGAATCCTCAACGAGAATTGAAAGGAATGGAACAGGTTGCACATTTTGTCTGCATCATAATATGTTCGCTTTTGGCATGGGGCAGTCGATGAGTCGATGGGCTCCAAAGAATATTTTGGATATGCTACAGCTTCTGAGCACTTACCCAGATGCAAATGTCAAAAAAGTGTTCTCACAGTTGCTAAGAGACATCTTTTCAGAAAATAGCATCAGTCAGAAAAAAAAAACCCAGGATTGCCGTTTTTGAGCAAATGCTGATATGGAAAATGACTAAAAATTTAGAAACGAAACCTGCAAAGAAAAATGATGAGAAAGAAACGATTAGATGGTAGAAACCTAGTTATTGAAGCAAAAGACTTAAATCAACTCGTTACTAATACAACAAAGACGTTCTTTGAATTGTTTGGGATTCACGACAGGAGAGAATACTGCAGTGATTCTCTAAACATCCATACGAACGCTCTTAAAGTGGTCATTGATACCGAAGAAAGAGGAATTTCTCTAAAAAGTTTAAATAATCGGTCAGGGAATGTGCAACAAAAATAATTCTAATTGAGAGTAGTTGAGCATCCCAGAAAAGGTTTCACCAAGCGAACAAAAGAAAGGATTGCAAAGTTGATTAATTTAAAGTTGGTCCAAAGTTGATTAATTGAAAGTTTGTTTAAAGTTCATTAATTTAACACGTATGTGCCTGTCATACTAACTATTAATCTTAGTGTCTAGTTTTAATATTATTTTAAGTTTGTGATTCCTAGTTTTTCCAATAAAAGTATTTAATATAAAAAAAATCGTAATTTTGCCTACTTTTACAAAACTGATCAAAATATGTGATAAGGTATTTCTCTCGCTTTCCTAGCTTTCGGGGTGTAGTGATTCTGCATGCTGGGCCGGTATTCCAGAGATCCGGGGTTCGATTCCCGGCGAAGGCGTTTGCTCATTTTTCATCTCTCCGGCCTCGAAATAACCTAATGTCTCTACAGTGGCGTCCGAATTAAAAGGGTGTTGGATGATGATTCTTCTCACCCAGGATTTGGCGATTGGATCCCCTAAAAACCCCAGTCGCCCTTAAAAAGGGGGAGTATATGAGGTATTTCTCCCGTCTTCCTAGCGTGCCTTCGTGGTGTAGTAGTTCTGCACGTTGGGCCGGTATTCCAGAGTTGCGTGATTTGATTCCCGGCGAAGGCAATTGCTCAGTTTCCATCTCTCCGGCTTTTCCAATTAATCTAATGTCTCTACAGTGTAACCTCTAAATATTATCCAGTCTTCTGGAAATCTGGCATATATATAATTTACATCACTGAGACTTGGCTAGTAAGCAAAGTCTGCATAATTTTACGTTTAATTTTTTGCCTTACATAATGAAACAACTTAATATGTACCCAATCATCTTTTAGAATTACATTAAAACTATCAAATATTTTTAAGTGATTAAGTGCATACGTAATGTAATAAAAATATTTTCATATACGTTTTTCTTTATTAATTTATCTCTTAATTTTATTTATAATACTTTAATGGTTATTTTTCTGTTTTTGTAGTTCAGATTCTCAGTTTTTCGTATACGTAACAATATAAGATGTGGTGCAAATATTTCTTGAAGTTTAATAATGTTCGTAACGAAATATTAATGCATTACTAAAAGATAAACTTTTGGCTTCAAATTTAAAAAATATTTTATCTCGAAAGTTTTAGATACGATTTTTCAAGTGTAATTATTCTACTTAAATTTTATTAATTATTTCCTTTCTTCCTTTTTTAGACGCTATTGGGAAAATGTGTTGAGAAGTAAACGAAAATTTGTGAACATGGAAAACAAAGTGATGGTTTAAGCTCAAAAAATAAGTCTCAAATGCCATCTATATGGAGACTTAATTTGTTTTCAAATAAAATGCTTTTTGAATAATTTTGTTTTTTATTAATAGATTTAAAAGGGAACGGAAAGGAAGAAGAAAAGAATTCTGAAATTTTAGCTTATTTTTGTAATGTATCTTTGTAATCTTTCGACTACAAACACCTAAAATATTTATGACTATTTAATTTTAAAATGTATATTATTTCAGCTCATGAACATTTTTCTCAAAATTTTCGCAAACAACTCTTATATATATAGCTTAATTTTCTACAATTAATTCAACTTAAACTAAAGTGCCAAGGTATTAAAATCACAATTAATTATTTTCCTACTGTGAATACATCACTTAGAGCCTGAACAAAATTTCACTGTTCCAATGTATTTATTTAGAAGCCAGAATTAGTGTGCATAAATCCATCTTCCTTATATCACCTTCTTTAAGCTGAATATAAAGATACGTACTCAAAAAACTTTTGCTTATTGTGGCTTATTTTTAACTTTTGCTCAGAGCTGCATCTTTCTAGGAGACACACTTACTGCACGTTATCATGGCTGCATTTTAAACAGCTACAACTCTTACTGCGAGTATTCAAAGTAGCATCTAGTTAATGGAGTATTGGTATCCTGAAGTTATATAAAATCAAGCATGTTCTGTAACTTTACAAAATACAGCATTCTTTACTGTATATCTGTGCTTGACATTCATAAAGAATACCTCATCTCCCTGCACTTAAAATCTATTTTCAGCAAAATCAAGCAATAAAATCTAATAAATTTACACTAAAACTCAAACGGTGAAACTATTGTTATCACTGTTATTATGTCATGACCGTATTTGACGGCATTTAAGAAGTACTTTTTTTCCTAAATTTGGTCTCAAAAAAGTTACCTGCGTCTTATACGTGAAGGACACAATCTTATACGTGAAGGTAATTGCATTCAATAATTGTTTATTTGGCTTTTACGAAACGTGAGAACTAAAAGAAACCACGCTATTGAAACTTTTTTTCCTTGTGTGTGGCTGTCTAAATAAGGGTGCGTCTTATATGCCGTCAAATACGGTACTGATCTGTCATGCACTCGTTTTTCGGGGACTGGAAAACAGCCAAACACTTAAGCAAAGGTGTATTTAGCGTTTTATATCATAGTGTACTAAAATTACTGTCTTGCGTTTACAGATTTTCAGAATGAAAATAGCGGATTATTTCTTGTTCTTTTTGCATTGATCAATGTTCATCTGAAAACGGCATATGCTCATTTCTCATCTGACAATCTCATGCGAGAATTTAGCAGAAATGGGTATAAATAATTAAACACTTGATCCGCGTGAATACATAAAAATAAAATGCTTCCTTTGAGTTGTTTCGCTGTTAACCATACTTGCTGTGCATCTTCAAAATTTGGTTTGTTAGCAATACAGTGGATAGGAATTAAACACCCCGAAATGGTGCTTAATTACAATATAGGTAATTAAACACCCGAATTTCATCCATGCTGCTATGGAAAACTATTCAACGAACGAGAGAGAAAATATTGCAGCTGTCAAAGAACTTAAATTTATCGCAGTTTATGACCGATGAGAAACATAAGTTATCATGCAGGGAAACTAGTTACCAAAACAGACTGATGTATTCTAGCAATGCATTCTAACATTAAATCGTCCACACTAAAAATCAACCTATTACTTATTGAGTCTCGATTCTATGCTATGATGTCAGATGTACCCATACCGAAAGCCTGAAAATATTCTAAGGTATTTTCTCTCTTCATATTGCATACCTTTATGATGAAATACGCTCGACAAGTATTCGGAGGTCCGGAGTTCGAATCTTGGCGAAAGCATTGCACATTTTTCACTGCCCTATTTCGATAAAACTTAATGACTCTATTATATAATGAAAATGATTTTTATTGAACTCCCGAATTTTTATATTTCTGTTCATTCAATGTGTGTGGGTTCGCGTAATTGTAACTGCGTAGTAGCCAGCCTAGTATTCATATTAATTTCACAGTACAGAGAAAAAGTAACACGAAATTTACAGTTCGTATTAGATAATAGTAGCACTGCCATCGGTAGAGTGGGGACAAAACATCTTAAATATGACTTAAAAATACGTATGTAAATGAAAGAAACCTTTTAGGTTATATGCGTTTAATAAAATATGAAGAAAAGTAAACAATATTTTTTTTAATATCACGATATTTTTAAACACACGCGACTAATAAACAAAATAGTGGAAGCGTCCATTTAATTTCAATTTAACTTTTTTAACCTTAATTTTATACATGTTCTTTATATAAAAGGTAGATATCTATTCTTCGAATCTTTCTTTTTAACATGTTGTTCTAATGGCGCATTAAAAAGTGCGTTATATTGATGCATTCTCACTGAGGGTAAATAGTTTGGACTTCCATTTCTGTTAACTATAAAATTGTAAACTCTAATTGTATATCATTTATGTATTCTCAAATGCATCATGAAGATGTAACCAATTTGTATCAAATTATATTTTATTATTTTATATTTTATAAGACTTAAAATAACTAAAACATTTCACACCAATCTTAATACACTTATTATACGTATGTAGTATCTTATAAACTGTCTTGTTAATATTCACGCTATATGTCTTCAGTTATCCAGTTATCCAGGGAAGGAAACCACAGAAATTACGTCTCAGACCAAAATTAAAGAAACATTGCATTTTGTGCTGGAGTACTTATGTGAGAGAAATAAAAAAAGAAAAGAAAAGAACAGCTCTGTCTACAGAGACGGAAAAAAATCTAGCTCTCTCACACTTCTGCAGAGAAGTGTTCCAAAAATTAATTTTGGTATTTTAACAAACGGAGCCAACAAACAGAGCAAAATATGTAACCAAATTCTGCTTTTTATTTTTTATTTTTAACCACCTTGATACCATTCTTTTGTAAGCACGTTACGCAACTTAACACTGAGCAAGGAAATAGGAACAAAAATTTAATTCCACTCAATAAGACCTTTCAATTGACATCTAAAATGTTGAAGTTTTCTGACAGCGTAAGTCAACGAAATTACAGGCCACGCTTATGCTGCTTTCTGCTTACTAAGACCTTTTCATAAATAACCATGTTACTTAAATGATAAATATGAAGAATCCAGGCCGAGGGAAAAATCAAAATTTTGTACGATTATCTCAAATATACATCTGTGCAAAATTTCAAGAGAAAAACTATCTTCAGAAAAGTATCTCAAGAATATATAAAAACGAACGTAAAAGTGTTTTCAGGATATTTAAAGTAAATAATACAAAATAAATTAATAGCATTTCAGCTTCCTTAGTAAATAAATCCCAAAGCTGTGCAAATAAGAGCACAAGGCGTACCCATATATAAATCAGCCTTGATTCTTTTATAAACTCGTCATGCTTGATGAAGAATTCCAGTCCATTCTCAGCAGAGAGTAAGGATAGCTTTACTTCGTATACGAATAATGTATAATTACATCGAGGACGTAACCGAATGTGACGGAAGACACATCATTTGGTAAGGAAGAATGCAATGCTTCTTTTCATGATTTGCCACGGGCAAGTAAAGTGTGGTACTTCTGTTTTATTCATATTTGACGTATCGCACCAACGAGGAACATGGGTTTCAACCGCCTTTCATAATAGTTCAGGCTGCCATATGCCGTTGCTGGATTACGTCAATAACTTTCTGTGATTAATCAGGCTTCTTTACTTGCAACATCTCTTCGAGGTAACTGTCTTACGGAATAGTGTCACTCCTCAAATTGCAACGTAAACGCGAGTTATTTCAGAGTTAACAACGTCGAACTTCTTCATTGCCCGCTTATATAATATATTGAAAAATGTGTCTCATATAGTTAAACAAAGGGTCATGCGTTATGACAGTCTTTCAATAAATCTTGATGGAATTCAGAACGCGAGTTAAAGCAACTTGGATGATTGTCCCACAGGACACCGTTAAAATTTTGTTCAATGCTATGCCATGTAGAATAAGTAACACGTGCCAGAAATGGATACAAAGAATACTGCTTTTATCCAAGGATATAAATGTATTGTTTTGAAATGCTAACCATATGTTCTGTACTGCATACTTTACGCACCCAGCAAAAATAAAAGTTTTAGTTAAATTTCTTCAAGGTTGTTCTGTTTCGTAAAAACAGTTACATATCGAACACTGAAAGATGTCTTGAGTTTATTGGTTTTTTATCCACCCTTGCAAGTTATATTTGGCATTAGACTGACTGGATATATCTGATAATTTTTTCTCTATTACAAAGTTTCATGTTGAGTTTCAAGTCATACTTTTTAAGCTCACTGAAACTGATACAAATTATTTAGGTTGACACTTATCAAAAGCCACACATCGAGCTAAAAACTATACAGGGTATTCGAGAAATATGGCTACATGCCTTATTTTCTCAACATTTCATAGTAGTCTTTAGAGATCAGTTTTTCCTTTCACACTGTTTGGCTTATCATTCAGGTTAGTTTATTTTGTGTATTTCAAAACTACGAAGGCCATCTGCCTAAAAGGAAGGTTGCCTTTGTGGAGGATTTTCTGGAAATTGCCTAGTATTCACGTTATACACAGGGAAAACTATGAAAACTAGTAGCCATGTAGCCAGTCACTCACCTGAGATCGGAATAAACCAGGTCGAACTACCAATTTCAGTGGTCTTAACCACTTGGCCATTGATGAGGCGCTTATCATCTCAGAAAGGAGGAAAATGAAAAGCCATAATTCAACAGGATATACATCTTCATACAATAACATCAAGCAACAAATTTTTAATCTCATAGTTGTCTCTACTTCGTTGAGCTTTATTTAATGTAGGGAATACAATTTTATTGAGCTTTATTTAATGCTGAACTTTATTGAATGTGCATTGTGCTTAATTTAAGGTAGAGAATATATCTAACCCAGGCCTCAGAAAAATGTTTTGAGCTTTGATTCTAAGTATTATTTCCAAAAATGCAAAGTTTCTCGAAATAAGGAAGCTAATTCCTTACTTATGGTCCCACCCAAAAAACTTCAATTAGTAAAAT